TCGTAATGATGTATTAATAATCATCATCTTCTTTTCCACCCACATGTTACCAACTCTTCATTATCTTAGCTCTGGTAAATATTTTCTTCTACAAAAGTGGATAACTTCTATCATATGATCGTTAAACGCCGAAAAAAAGGGATCATCACAATGGTTTTGAATCATCTTCCTTGTGACATTCTTTTTCATGGCTTACAAGAATATATTCTTTGTAGTCAGAATTTAAAGAGGTATAGGATTAGGAAGGAACATCATTTGGTATAATCGGATTCTTGGTTAAAAAAGTTTAATGTCTCTCTCTCTCTCTCTCGAGATTCACCCCTTTTAAAGAGAAATTATTGAACAGAACCAACACAATGATGGTTATGTCTGGGTAAGATTATGTCGGGAAGCAAAAACTTCATCTGGGAGTGACATTATGGGCGAGTTTGAGTTGAGGCCTAGAATGTACAGAGGGCAGGCAGTACTGTCCTGAATTTCCTGGTTAGTTTTCAGGATGGTAGGCCGATTTGGAGGAGAGAATAAAAGAAGAGACAAAACTAAACATATCAACAATATCAGAGTCATTTACCAAAAGCTTGAGGACAACTGAGCTATTTTTATTAATGGAAAGTGCAAATCCTTCAGTTGAGCTATCTCTCTCATTCAAAGCAATAAAGAGCATCCTTTAATTAAAGCTAAAGGGTATTATTGTCATATGAATAAAGAAAGGAAACAAGGCATCAAATTTGCTTTTTTTTTTCCTCCCCTTTCTCCTTCCCCACCTCCATTTGATCTTTTTATTATCCAACGGCCATTTTTAAATTTGCATTTTTCTAGCTACTTGTCTTTCTACAAAACCATCTCCTCTCTTTCCTTCTCTTCACCCTCTTTTCCTCCTGGCTTTGCTAAAAGAAACTTGGCATAGAGGAATTCAGAAAGCAAAGGAACCATTTGTAGCAGATTTTCAACATTGCATCTCTGTTGGAAAAGAAAGAAAAGCAAAGAAAAGAGGAGAAAGAAAAGGATGGTCTTAATTTTTCTTACTTGTATTTGAAGACTCGTTGTCTGTGAAGATGTTTGATGCCTTAAGCCCAAACATACTTGAGGAAGTTCATCATATTATTCCACTGTCTTGTCCTCCTCACTTCGCCGAAAAATTCATTATTGCAAAGCTGCTTAAAACCCCTGCTGCTGCTGCTCTTTCCTTCCCGTGCTTCCAAACTCAATTCCCTTGAAACAATTTTGGGAAAAAACATGTTGTTTTTCCTTGTTTTTACTTTCTTCTCTCTTCTAGGGCCCTCTTCTTCCCACAGTCTGGTCAGTGATTTCCATGTCTTGCTTGCTCTGAAACAAGGGTTTCAATTCTCGGACTCTGCTGTGCTAAGCACATGGACTGCGTCAAACTTTAGCTCCGTTTGTTCGTGGGTCGGGATTCAGTGCTCTGACAAACGAGTTGTGTCGGTTGACTTGACAGATTTGAGCCTTGGAGGCTCTGTTTCACCGTTTATTTCTAGTCTTGATCAACTTTCTCAGTTGTCTGTGGCTGGAAATAACTTCTCCGGTAGCATTGAAGTAGTGAATTTGAGTTACCTCCGATTCCTTAACATCTCAAACAACCAGTTTACTGGGACTCTGGACTGGAACTTTTCGAGTCTGCCAAACTTAGAAGTGTTCGATGCTTATAACAACAACTTCACTGCTGTGCTCCCCACTGAGATTTTGAACTTACAGAACCTCAAGTACTTGGACCTTGGAGGTAACTTTTTCCATGGAACAATCCCTGAAAGCTATGGCAATTTCGAAGGATTGCAATATCTTTCTCTTGCAGGAAATGATTTGGTCGGGAAAATCCCAGGTGAGTTGGGAAATCTTACAAATTTGAGAGAAATTTACTTGGGTCATTACAATGTTTTCGAAGGTGGCATTCCACCCGAGCTCGGGAAGTTGGAGAATTTGGTTATTATGGAGATTACAGACTGCGGTTTGGACGGTCAAATTCCTCATGAACTCGGAAATTTGAAGGCCTTGAATACTCTATATTTGCATACGAATCTACTCTCAGGTTCAATCCCGAAGCAGTTAGGCAATTTGACAAACTTGGTCTTTCTCGATCTATCCAACAATGCACTCACAGGAGAAATCCCATCTGAGTTTGTTGATCTCAAACAGCTCAAGCTTTTCAACCTCTTCATGAACAAACTACACGGATCTATTCCAGATTACGTAGCAGATTTGCCGAACTTGGAGAGCTTGGCCCTGTGGATGAACAACTTCACCGGCACAATCCCAAAGAATCTCGGCCAAAATGGGAGGCTTCAGCTCCTTGATTTGTCAACGAACAAGCTCACGGGTACAATCCCTCAGGATTTGTGTTCATCGAACCAGCTGAAAATATTGATTCTGATGAACAACTTCCTGTTTGGGCCAATCCCTGATGGCTTGGGGACATGTACCAGTCTAACAAAAGTGAGGTTGGGGCAGAACTATCTGAACGGAAGCATTCCTAATGGCTTCATTTACTTGCCTCAGCTAAATCTAGCAGAGTTTCAGGACAATTACCTTTCAGATACACTTTCAGAGAATTGGAATAGTTCATCAAAACCCATCAAATTAGGGCAACTTAATCTCTCTAACAATCTTCTCTCTGGAACTTTACCATTTTCATTTTCTAATTTCTCGTCTCTCCAAATTCTCCTCCTTGATGGCAATCAGTTTTATGGTACAATCCCTCCTTCCATCGGGGAACTCAGTGAACTTCTGAAGCTCGATCTTAGCAGAAACTCACTTTCAGGTGAAATTCCACCTGAAATTGGGAATTGTATCCATCTCACTTACCTTGATTTGAGCAAGAACAACCTCACTGGCCCAATTCCACCTGAAATTTCCAATGCACATATTCTCAATTACCTCAACTTGTCGAGAAATCACCTAAATCAATCCCTACCGAAATCAATAGGGGCCATGAAGAGCCTCACGATTGCAGATTTTTCCTTCAATGATTTCTCCGGAAAGCTACCGGAATCAGGACAACTTGCCTTCTTCAATGCTTCGTCTTTCGCCGGAAATCCTCAACTCTGCGGATCTCTCCTCAACAATCCCTGCAACTTCGCAACAACGGCAACAAAATCGAGAAAAACTCCTGGGTATTTCAAGCTAATCTTCGCCCTTGGCCTACTGATTTGCTCCCTAGTGTTTGCCATAGCCGCAATAGTCAAAGCAAGATCGTTTAAAAGAAACGGCTCAAGTTCGTGGAAAATGACCTCATTCCAAAAGCTCGATTTCACCGTCTACGACGTTTTAGAGTGCGTGAAAGATGGAAACGTGATCGGAAGAGGCGGCGCCGGCATCGTCTACCACGGAAAAATGCCGAATGGAGTTGAAATCGCAGTGAAGAAACTCCTAGGGTTCGGTCCCAACAGTCACGACCACGGATTCCGAGCCGAAATCCAAACCCTAGGCAATATTCGACACCGGAACATCGTCAGATTATTCGCTTTCTGCTCCAATAAAGAGACAAATCTCCTCGTATACGAATACATGAGGAACGGAAGCTTAGGCGAAGCACTCCACGGAAAAAAAGCCTCGTTCCTCGGATGGAATTTGAGGTACAAAATCGCCATTCAAGCCGCTCAAGGTCTCTGCTATCTCCACCACGATTGTTCTCCACTAATCGTCCACCGAGACGTGAAATCGAACAACATTCTCTTGAATTCGAACTTCGAAGCTCACGTCGCCGATTTCGGACTGGCGAAGTTCATGTTCGATGGCGGCGCATCGGAATGCATGTCGGTTATCGCCGGGTCTTACGGCTACATCGCTCCTGGTACGTCTTTCCTTCTTTCTTTTTTCATTTGCCTTTTAAAGTTTTTGTAATTATTTATTTTTATTTTTTGTGATTTAATTTTTATTTTCTGATTTGGCCGTTACAGTGTTAGTTAAGTTAGTTAATCACTAAAATTCTTTTGGTGGGCCATGGTAAATAAATTAGTCAATGCCAGCCGTCCGATTGTCACTGCCAAGAAAATCTAAGGGCAGTGATTGACAGTGATGGGAAAGTTTGGTTTCACTAGTTGGTCCAAAAAGAAAAAATAATAATTAAGGATTTTGATACTTATTCTCTGTTTTTTAGGAAAGATTCTTATTTGAAAATCTTTAACTAAAATCTAAAAATAAAAATAGATATTTGAAAACTACTTTTATTTCTTGTCAATATAGTGATCTAAATCTTTTTCTTTATTATCGTAGAATATGCATACACCTTAAGAGTGGATGAAAAAAGTGATGTGTACAGTTTTGGAGTAGTGCTATTGGAGCTTTTGACGGGACATCGTCCAGTTGGAGATTTTGGAGACGGAGTGGTTGACATAGTACAATGGTGCAAAAGAACTCTAGAAAACGGAGAGAGCGAAAATGACATTCTTGACATAGTCGACAAAAGGATAGGGACAGTGCCCAAAGAGGAAGCAAAACACTTATTCTTCGTAGCAATGTTGTGTGTGCAAGAAAACAGCGTGGAGAGACCAACTATGAGAGAAGTGGTTCAAATGCTGGCTGAATTTTCTCACCAATCTCCGGAATGTAACAAATCTTCGAGTTCTTCTCCTTATCAAAGTTTGAAAAAAAACGAAAAGGTGAAAGAAGACTCGTCAAAGTTCAAACCCGACCATTGGGTTTAAGAAGAAAAAAAAGTTATGGGTTTTTTTTTGGAGGGGGTTGTTAAGGTTTTAATAGTATATAGGTCGATTTAGGGTTTAGTTTTACATGTTTCTTTTAAAATCTTTAGAATATTGGGTGTAAAATGAGTTGTTTTATAGGTAAAAGGGAATATAATATCATGTTTAATAATAAATATCATGTTTAACCATTTCTTACCTATTTCAAACCAATTTATTCACGTTCAAATTCTTAAGACACGCTTCCTCATATCATACTTTCATATATACTATAAACGTAGATAAATTCAAGGTTCAGAGGTGCCACTTATCTGGAAAGTGCGACACTTTAGTTCAGATTCGCTATTTTAGAGGGTTCCAAGGTTTTCCAAAGTTCTCAAATAATTCATACATGGGTGAAAAATGAGGAATACACGAAAACGGTGTCAAAAATCGGGGTTAGAACGGGTGAAATACTCAAATGGGGCCAAACCGGCCCAATAAATCCGGGCCGGGCCGGTTTCTGCCCGGGTCGGGCGCCGTGGTGGGCTAGGCGGGGCGCGCGCGCTGGGCCACCCGAAACGCAGGCTGAGGTGCAGGCCCGCGCTGGGCGCGAAACCCTCGCCTTCCCCGATTAACTTCCTCTTTTGCTCACCTCTGCGTGCTCGCCGTCGCCTTCCCTTTTGATTTCGCTTCCGTTTTCTTTTTCTTTCTTTGCAACTTCTTCTCCACTTCCTAGGTCTAACCAAGCTCAATCGACGCACTGCTAACAGGTTAGGAACAAGTTTTCTTCTCCGACAACGTGGGTTCTGGTCTCGCTCTAGCCACTCTTCCTTCTACAACACTAAGCGTCTTGCCCTCTCCGCGCGCTCAACCGCTGCCTTAAATCGACTCACATCCTTCTCTTCTTCAAAGATAACCTCGAAACTATGCGGGTCGGCGCTGTCTTCCGCGGGGTATTACAATATTAATCTCACTTTATGATTCTCCGAGTTACAAGAGCCCCTCATCGTTTGTGCCAGACTCGTGCTTTTGTTGATGCAAAGGTAAAATGGGTTAGAGATCCATACCTTGATTTTGTTGTTCAAAGAGAGAAAAATCTCAGACAAGTAATCTCCCTCAAGAATCTAATAGTTTCGAGTCCTTTTAAATCTGTCCCACTTTCCTCTGTCTCTTTGATGAGACAGAACCTCAAAGCCCCCACTACTTCGATCTCCAAGTTCTTCCAATTGTACCCTTCTGTTTTCATCCAATTCCAGCCTAGTCTTGGCCTCCATCCTCATGTCAAGCTCACCTCCCAATCTCTAGCTCTCCACAAGGAAGAATTAACCATTCATAACTCTCAACCACATAGAGACGACATTGTGAAGCGGTTAGCGAAACTATTGATGCTCACAGGGGCTGGGAAATTGCCCCTATATGTCATTGAGAAGCTGCAATGGGATTTGGGTCTACCCTACAAGTTCATTCCAGCTCTTCTTGCTGATTATCCTGAATATTTTCAGGTTTGTAGTATGAGAGATTGTTCAACAGGTGAACAAACTCTTGCATTGGAACTACTTTCTTGGAGGGAAGACCTTTCAGTCTCAGAACTGAAGAAGAGGCATTCCTTGGAAGGCAATGGTTGGAGAAGGAATGGAAATCACATTGCATTTCCAATGAGTTTTCCTAGGGGTTTTGATTTGGAGAAGAAGGTGCTGAATTGGGTGGAGGAGTGGCAGCGTCTGCCTTACATTTCACCCTACGAAAATGCATTCCATCTAGCACCAAACAGCGACCAGGCTGAGAAATGGACCACGGCAGTTCTTCACGAGTTGCTTTACCTTATGGTCTCAAAGAAAACCGAAAAAGAGAACATCTTCTGCTTGGGAGAGTATTTGGGGTTCGGTTCTAGGTTCAAGAAGGCCATAGTTCATCACCCAGGTATATTTTACGTCTCAAACAAGATTAGAACACAAACTGTGGTTCTCAGAGAGGCGTATAACAAGAACTTTCTGGTAGAAAAGCACCTTTTGATGGGCATGAGGCATCAGTACATTCACCTAATGAACAAAGCTGTAAGGAGACCTAGACCACGCATCATATTAGCTTCTTCCAGAGGTAAAAGACAGAATAATCCATCTGCCAACAAAGAACCTAAGAGAAATGCTAAAGCAAAGCTGGAAGAATCCAATGTGTATTTTCAGCCATCGGTTGAGGAAGACGATCGTCCGTGCAGAGTGACTGAGTTGCAAAATAATGCATTTCATGAATGAAAACTATACTGCGAAGGCCTAAATGATCAGACATGGTCTGGCTGCTGTTATTAAGTTTTTTTCTTTAAGTGCATCAGAGATTATTTTCTTGCAGAGGCCCAGTTGAAAGTTTTGCAGAAGGTGAAACTCCATAACTACGAAGTTGCAGTTGTAGGTTACCATATAGTTTAAGTTGGTTATTCCACATCAGTAAGGAGAAAGAATGGTGGAAGCCACAACAAAATTGGTTAGCATTATAATGATGAGAGATAGGTCACACATTTTTACCTAAACTAGTTTAAAAATACAAACAATATGATCGTCTAAAAAGGGGGCTTATAATTCACCAGGGAGTAAAGTTCTAATATTACATTTCAGTAAAATTCCTATTCAGCCAGATCCCATCAATGACTGAAAGGCCATCACAAGTTGGAAACTAAAAGAAAAGAAAAGAGGATTAAATTAGCAAAAAAGGAAAGCTAGTTTCTATGGACCTGTTATTATGGCATGATAAGATACTGTAGTGCAACTAAAAGTACATGGCCCACTACCCTGATAAGCAAAATTTCAATGAAATCAGGAATCCCAGCTAAGCAGCTCTGAAACAACATTAGAAAACCAGGTGAAGAAGGGGTCTGAGTTCTCGACCCGTGAATAATGCATTGGAAAAAATCAACTCATTAACGTGTGCGGCTCATCTTTATCTTTGGCATTGCTTTCTTCATCTGTTTCGCACGGTCTTTCGCCTCTTTCCGTCGAAGAGCCTCAGCAGTTAACTTGGCCTCAGCCTCTTCCATCAGTTTCTTCTTCTCTGCCTTCCTCTTCTGCAGGACTTCTTGCCTAGCATTTTGAAGCTCTCTGTATGCCTCTTGAGCAGCCTTCGACCTTGCAGCATCGGTTTTTGAGCGGGCCTGGATGAGCAACAATTAGAATTTAGAAAAAACTGAACAGACCTCCAAGTTTATTATGTCAAATTGTATCAGCACATATTACCTGTGAACTGAGCTTGTACCGTCCAATGACGTCGATGTAATACGGTACAAGAGCTACCAGATGAGAAATGTCAGACATATTGTTGGCATCTGGGAGAGCAAACTTAAATAACAGCATCTTTTTGTGCATGCCTGGAAGCTGATCCGAGAAGTGCATTGAGATGAAGTACTTCCCAAATTTCTCAAAGGATTTTTCACCAAAAACCTGCAGAAATTAACTTAACTTCAAATTGCACGTTCGCTGAAAGGAATAAAGAAATTTACTGGAAGTTTTGATTAGATCATGTTAATCGAGCATGAAGGCGTCCAACAAGGAAATGATATGCGCAAGGACGGCAAGTTTCATAGCAGCAAAGATGTGATGGAATGAATGAAGCTACTCAACAAATATAGAAGAAATTACGCGTAAGGAATACCATTTTCTTTATATTTTCCCTACCCCAAAAATTCCTTGCTTCCACATGGAATACGCATCACTAGAAAAAGAGCAAAATACAGAAAATCCATGACCAGACATAAGACACTACACATTGTGCAGAGCATTGCATGAACCATTTTCCGTGAGTTCTAATTATTTCATACCTTTCTGTCTTCACATGGACTGACTAGAGCCCCAATCAGAACTTATATTAGGGCTCCACAGTCTCACTCTACCTCAAACACAATTCTTTTAGCTGTGATGTTCCAATAGAAAGTCTCACTATCCCACAAGCAACTCGCCTGTTAACCCCTTGCTTTCACTGTTGCTAACAGTATAAATTAGAGCGGACTTTATACTGAAGCCCCAAAGCCACATAAAAGGAAGGGCAAGGGTAAACAAAAAGCACAAGATGGAAGGAGCACAATGGAGACTTCCCAACACCCATAAAGCAGTATAGTGTGCAGTACTTCAAACCTCCTCCCCAAGACACAGCCTTATCCCAAAAAACCTCGAGATTCCCCTTAAACCGAAGGAACCTAAGCACTGCAACAAAGATGGCTTGCACAAAAGCCTCCCACTCATTGAAAAATCTCAGAAAGACATTCCCAATCTCTTGACTCAGCGCCAAACTAACACCAAAAGAATGCCCAATCAAAGTCGTGAAAGGGCATTGACAAAACCAATACAGTTCTAATCCTCATAATAATTCCTACAAAGCATGCACGACTAAGTTGTAAGCACTGCTAAAACTTGCTTAGGGATAAAAAATAAAAATAAAAAATAAGAAAAAAAATGCCTATATAATCAAGAGTCCAAACCCAATGATCAATCAATTCGAGCTAATAATAAAAAACTCATGGGCGTTGAAAGGGTAGTGACATAAGTGGTTGTAATAATATTCCTCGATGCTAGTAAACCCATTCATATAACCCCACTCTTCTCTGATCTAGCAATAAAACGTGTTTCATGCTTTTAATCAACAGATCATGTTATCCCTATGGTCCAGACAGTGTAACAAATAGATTTCACTCTCTGAGTTGGGATCCATGAAAGCGAGAGACATTGGGAAAGAACTTTGATCAGACATTGAAGATCCAAGATCTTATTAGTAGTACCATCAGAGTAAATCTTGTCCACATAGAACAGGAAACTCGAAGACTTCACTCCTCCTCCAAAGTAGAACAATCAAACATACAGTTGCTTAATACCATAAGCAAATAAACAATGTAGAAAACACGAGCAAAGAGTATCGTGAAAATAGACAAAATGGTTACATTTAAACGTGAGGTCGCTATCATGAAGTATAAGGACAGGAAAATAAACAACTCAAGCAAAAAGCAGCCGAAACATCAAGTCAAGACCTTTAAAATTGAGAACTCGGACATCAGGTGGTTTAGCAATAAGCATTCAGCAAAATATTTACTAATCAGAACAAAACAACACAATGGAAGTCATCTGAAACAGAGAAAAGTTACCAACCTGGTCAAGAACAGCCTCTGTGATCAAATCAGATGCAACCTCCTTCGATTCTGAAATTACGCTCAACTCTTCAGGGACCCATTTTCTACCACTGGGAGTCGTCAAAATCCCAGCAAACCTTTGCAGATCCTTCAAATCCTTTTGCATTCCTTTGGCAGCTTTTTTTCTCGCCACAGCAAAGATAATATGATCCATCGCGTCATCATTCATGTACACCTCGAAGCTAATTTCATCCTTACACGGCACCACCATATTATACATCCTCGAGATCAAATCGTGTCGGCTCTTCAACTCCATTGTTGCCAACAACCCTTGGCAACACCTCCGCCCGCTAGCATAGAATTTGAAGACATTCTGTCCCTCTTTCAACAGCAAAGGCGAATCCTCACCTTCCCCTACACCCAACAGACTGAAGTTCCTCTCAAAAATGGAGTCCTTGGTCGCGAATTTCGCAGCCCACGACAGCGCAATGTTCTCGTTCTCGCGCTTCCCTGTAAAATAGTTGATCAAAAAAATAACCAAGAAAGACCCGCACGCAATTTCAACAGCATATGACTTCGGTGCATTTGCAGTTTTGGGAATCGGAGAGGCAGGTTTTGGATCAAAGTTCGAATTCGAGGAGGCTGAGTCCTCCGAAAATTTGGAGCTCTGTTGTACCGGTTCTTGTGGTTGTTCTATCGGCAAGCCTTCGAATTCGTCCTCGTCCCAGTAAGTAAAACTGGTCGGAGAAGGCTTCGGAGAATCGGAGACAGACGGTGGAGATTGAGGATTCGATGGCTCGACCACCGGATCCGATACATCAGAGCCGCGATCCGGCGAAGAAAATACGACGGATTCGGGTTCCGACTTGGTGAGAGGAAGGGGACGGAGGGGGAGAGAAAGGTCGTCATCTTCAAGGTCGTCAACCTCTGGTCCAAATCCTTCGAAGTGGGAATCAGCAAGAACATAAGAGTGAGAAAGAGAGAGAAGGACGAAGGGGATCCAGAAGGAGGTTAGCTTCGCCATGGCTGATTTTGCTCTCTCTGTTATCTGAGGGAGACGGGAAGAGAGGCAAATGCGAGCAAGGCAGATGAAGGACGTGGTGGAGTAGAGTGGGAAGTCAGTCACTGTTGGGCTGAGCTGACTCAACTAAAAAATTGTGCTCGGCCCAACTTAAAATAGGTCCGGCCCATTTAAAAGGTGATATTCATATAGGATAACATAAATCTAATTTTTTTAAAAAAAAACTGATAAGTTACCGTTTGAAACATCAACGACGTATGATTAAACATCAACCTTCATAATATAGGTTTATGTCTCCCCTGCCGTGCATAGGATTATCTATTATAAGAATATTTCAGTTGGATTCACATCTTCTAGAGATTATCTCAACTATTGATGTCATATGTCTATTCTAACCATTGATATTATATTATCTAACTCATTTGAGTTCATATCTCAACCAGATATCTCGTGACTTATTTTAATGATTGGTTGTCCATTATAACTAACTCCTTTGAGTTTATTTTGATCATTGGTGTTACACGTCCTACTCGATTTATGCTTTCTAACTCCGTTGATTTTATCCTCGATTATTTCTATTATATGATATTTCTTCTACGAGTTCGTTATTTTGATCATTGGTGTTACACATCCTACTCGAATTATGCTTTTTAACTCCGTTTAGTTTATCTCCGATTATTTCTATTATATGATATTTTTTCTATGAGTTCGTCATAATACCTAAAGATACGGGGATTTAGGTAATCTAGTTATGTTTTTTGCTCTCCCTTGTTAGTAATTCATATCATAGAACGATGAGGCTTGACCTCGGAAACCATCCAACTTTGGCACTTATGTGGCCGTGTTCTCACATTACTATTCACAAAAGTTGTAAATCTCATTGTTAGGCAACGAGGCAACTAGTCAAGGAGAATGATAAAAAATGATCAAGTGAGTTATTTATTATCTCATTATGGAAAAAATAAAATATCATAATTATCATAATTATCATAATTATCGTATTTTCTCTATTAGAGGCCCAGGCCCATGACCAGGCCCATATTAGGAAACTCGCGCGTCCCACTTTTGAGCCCTAATTGACATTTATTTCCCCTTTTGGTCTGGAATCTTTCTACTTTCTCAAATTGCTTTGCTTTGACGCTTTCCAAATCCCTATTCGTCTTTCTTCGGCTCAGGGTTTGTCCAGGATCTTCGGCGTGCGGGGTTCGAAAGGTAAGCTTCGAATTTCTCTGCTTCTTTGGTCTCCCTACTGCTTTCTTCCATTTCATAGCTGGACTTTTCGCCTTCTCTTACAATTTTTTTTTCTTTTCAGTACACAGGTTTCTTCCGCTTAATTTTCTCTTTCCGATTGATCGGTTCGGTTGTTTGATGGAAAGTCGATTAAGTTTTTTTTTTTCCTTCTGGAATGTTGGGTTGGGGTGTTTTGCATGTGTGTCATTGGCGAAGATAGTTGTTGTGAAGGTCTCTACTCCTGGTTTTTTATTGGATGACTTTCTTCGATTGCAAGTAAAGAATAAAATTTGGGTTTTGAAGGATTTTATGATTTAGTTGGCGGTGATTAAGTAAGAGTATAGTGATTCGGTTGGGGTCTTTGGATTGATGAATGTTTTCTACTTCTATATATATATATATATATATCCCCTTATTGGAAAACTTTCTCTGCTTAACCAATAGTGGAATTTTGTTTAGAAAGCATAACATAATTCAGTTTGCCTGTGATCAAGTAAGATTTTTTTTACCCATAAGCCTTCACTATGATCTAATTCGATGTTCTTCATTCTCACGTTCTTCTGCTTGCAGCTTTCAGGATTTCATTGCCTTTTCCTTAAGACTGCATTCCTTGAGAAATTGTGACATGGGTGGGCTACCTGTTGGAAATTCTTCGGAGTCCAAACTTGAGCAGGGATCAGCAGTGGTTAAGTCTACCCCAGATGGAAAACCAAAAAAGAAGATTTGTTGTGCCTGTCCTGATACTAAGAAGCTAAGAGATGAGTGCATTGTAGAACATGGTGAAGAATTCTGTGGTAAATGGATTGAGGCTCATCGTAAGTGTCTTCGTGCAGAGGGGTTCAACGTCTGAACTTGATAAGCCAATCATATGAACTATTTGATTTTCTGCTAGTGTACAATTTACCATTTCAGGTATACATAGATAACAGAGAAAATTGAGAAATAAAGTGAGCGAGAGAGTAGGCATAGGAAAAGCTGCAGTGCAGCAAGTTCAATTTGGCTGCGTATTTTTGTTGACTTGGGCCTTTGTTCATGTATTAACTTCCTTCTGTTATGCATAATTTCTTACTATCTCTTCTTTATTTGATGCCCAACAAATTCTATATCAATATCATGTGTTCTAAATTTATGATTCTCGCCTGATGTTGAATTGGTGGATCTGAAGTTTTGAACATCGAATTTTGTAGTAGTAGACTTATAGTGATTAGATCTTGTATTATATCAAGATAAGATAACCACAACGGGTTTGTCCGAGTCTGATAGAGAAAGGACAAGGTCTTAATGTACATGACTGATGTCTTTTGAGGTCAAGAGGTACACTTGTTAGAGTTTCTTAAGGCCGGTGATTTTGGGTCCAAAGGCATTCCTGCCTTTATGTATCATCATAGCATCTGCTAATAGCTTGTTTTTTCATCCTTTATTTTTTGAGTGTAAAAGTTGCAATTGACATGGTTTTGGATGTTATTAATGAGTTGTTGTTGAGAAGATGCGGTGTCCTACCTAAGAAAAGAGTAAAAAAAGTGGCCAACAAGATGCTGTGATGCACTGTGCATTCTGGGCTTGATTTGAATCAGTTGTTTGCCAGGTTTACTATTTTGAGGAAATTGTTCTATTTGGTTTGTGGAATTCTATAGATTTTGTTGTATTACACTACTCTAAAAAGTATTGAAGCCCTTCTAGATTGTTTCCTCGTTGTACTTTGTAGTCAAATTGAATCAAGGATGAAAAGAACCACAATAAAAATGGAAGGAGAGGGAGAGTGTACTAGTATATAACTTATCCATTAATAGTTAAACCATGGCCACGGATGTGACCAGCATTACATGACTATGGATGAAGAACAGAAGTAGATATTATTCGTAACACACCTCTAGCTAAGCACAGAGGTTTTGAACATAATAGGACACTTTTCAAACACAGCTACATTATTTCTGGCTTTATATAACTGTGTTAATGGAAACAACAGGTGTATATGTTCATTTGCCGCAGTGGCAGTCCTTGCAACTGCAGGGGTTGCAGCTGCACTTGTCATTGTGCTCGGCCGCTGGGACGTCCATGTCTATGGCGTCAAAGTAGCTTCAGAACCAAGAGATTCATTGTTAGATGCCAGGTACCATCAAGCACTTTTAGTTAATAACTTGTTGAGATTTCTTTTGTCTCTGCTCCACTCTTTTTTTCTAAATCTAAACATACTTTTGTTTACATCCTTTGAATTTGAGTTTTTCATGAAAAAAAATGGGCTCTAAATCATCTCTTTAGAAGAAGGTATATGCCCGATGAGCTGAAAAAATTACCTCTTCTCATTCTCCATGATGACAGCGCCATAGCTGTTCCCTTTTTTCCTGTCATTATAGAGCACGTCATTAACATAGAAATGAATTCGAATATGCAAACTTTTCAATCCTTTTTTTACTAGTAATTTTTTAGTTTTGATTTGGTCATACTGTGAAGGAAAAGAAAAAAAAAGTGGTTTTATGATGATCTTATTTGCAGCGACACTATAATTTGGATTCGAACTTTTAGTTTCACCCCAATAGGGTTTATTGCCCCTTCTGCTTCCCTTTATAGCATCAAACAAACTGTCATAATTGGAAACTTCTAATATTATTGCAGGGAGGGCAACCAAGGACCACCTTGACAGACTTGATATATTAAGACAATTTCTGAGAGGGCAACAGAATCATAGCTTTGAGACAAGCAAGCTCTTGATGAGATTTGCTGCAAAGTTCGTAGGAAAACAAAGAAAAAAAAAAAAAAATACTTACACGCAGTTGCTGCTGTCGGAGCAGTCGCAGTTGCCGCACTTGCCTGACATGGTGAAGAAGCTAGAGAAGTTGTAGGAGAAGGAAAAACTGATAGCTTATGGAACTTTTTTTGGCTTATGATCTCTAAGTCTTGAGTATGGTTGTGTATTTATAGTGCAGGGCCATGGCGTTGGCATTGGCAAGGAGTGGCCGAGATGAATGCCAAGTATGGGAGAAGCACACGCCTCTTCTGAACTGTCCAAAAGAATTCGAATCATATAGGTCTGCCTTTCTATCCTTCTCTAATGTCAACTTCACTTTTCTTTTCTATTTTTCTTCTGTAAATTGGGAAATCTGGAAATAACCTTCTTAGTGCATTTGAAATTTGATCATATGCCCCTGAAATAGCTGGTTAGTGAAGTTCCTGTCTGCTTAATAGAATATCATGAAACTTTAGTTTGTTTGATTTCAAGATTCAAGCTTTGGCCTTAATTTGTTGATAATATCTTGAAGAATAATTTCTTCAAAATGTTATGAAACCCATCAAAATACATTCTGTCTTCTTTTTTCATTGCTATCATATCCAATCTCTTTTTCCTGCTTTTGAGAAGAAGTTGGATTCTACATGACATGGAATAGAATAGGAAAAAAAAGTGGTAACAGTGACATAGTTGAGGCTAAATTCAGCTCTTATTAACAACGACATAGACATAGTTAATTCAATTGATTTACGGTTCTAAGCTAGATTTGTTATATTTTTATCATGAAAGGAGGTGAAGATTGATACGACATGTCAAATTTTTTATGAAAAATATTATTATTGTTCATGTCAAGTGCTAAGAATCTTATTTTGTACTTCGTTTTCATGGATAGTATTCACCAAAATGATAAGATTCTTCATTCTCTTTTGATGTTCTATCCTTGCTTTGCATTTATGCTAGAATCTACGTTTATTACTCGTTTTCATGGAATCTGATCAAGATGGTTCTGAATTCAAAAACTTGCATAAAGTTTCTTTAACGACCCAAACTTACCGCTAGCAGATATTGTTCACCTTGATCCTTTATATATTACCGTTAGTCATGGTTTTAAAATGCGTTTACTAGAGAAGTTTTCACACCCTTGTAATGAATGTTTCGTTCCAAATCGAGGTGGGATATCACAATCCACTCTCCTTGGGAATCAATGTCTTTGATGGCACGTTGCCCAGTGTCTTGCTCTAATATCATTTGTAACGGCTTAAGGCTACAATTAGTATATATTGTCTGTTTTGGTTCGTTATGTATCACAGTTAGTCTCACAGTTTCAAAATGCATATAATGGTGAAGTTTCCACATTCTTCGTTTTTTCAAGCAACGTGTGATCTCACAAATTTAATGAAAATATATAATGAAAATATATAAAATGTCATTCTATATATAAAATGTAATGTTATTAATTTTGTATAATTATGATCAATTAATTTATGATTCATGTATAGTTTTAATTGGATAAATAATTATATATATATATATATTTTTACTAAATTATTTCCTGTCTTATTGTTAATAGTTTTAATAAATTCAATTTTCATCTTAAACGATGAAATTAGATCCTAAAAATCCCCCTAAACTCACTAATATCAATAGCATTAAAACTTTCCAAATTTAAATTTGATTAATTGACAAATTAATTAATCAATAACTTCACAAAAACTCAAATTTTAACAAAATTAAGCTCTAAGGTTGTTTTGTTTCAATCTAAATTTCAATTTTCTATTCAACAAGAACATGACCTATTCGACATTTTAAAGAAGGTCCGTTAATTCATTAAAAGAATATTGAATACGGTTGAAACCCTTTAATTCAAATAAGTAAACGTGTAATTTAACATTTTGAAAATTATCATTGTAGAGACCTATAAATCATTAAAAAAAATATTGAATACTGTTGGAACACTTTAATGGGGGAAGGCACTTATTTAGAAACTTACCTTCATTTAGAAACTCAACTGGAGTTTTGGAGCTTTTTAATAAAGAAAATAAATAATATTGAATACAGTTGGAACACTTCAACTGAAGGTACTTATTTAGAAACTTACCTTCATTTAGAAACGCTTTTTGATAAAGAAAATAAACAATTCGAAAATGATCATTCCAGTAACTTAGAACTAAACCAAAAACTATCCATTTTTGGATGGGGAGAGCCCTCCATGGCTTCCTGATATCGGCAAATGGCTATGCATTTCGTTCAAAAAACAGAAACCCCACAAGCCCTTTTTTCTTGTAAATGGTAAATAAACCAAAATTTGTTGGAAAAAACCAATTCTTTTTAGGCCTTATTGTCCTCTCTTCTTCACACAAAACCATTTGAAAACCCACCAAAAAACACATACAACCAATTAAGAAACTCCCCAACATGATCCCTCAAGCCCTTACTACTGTTCCACAATCCAACCCTCCTCCTTCAACCCTCCCGTTCCTCACCGCCTTCTCGATCGTCATCGTCATCATCATCTCCATTGTCATCTTCTCCATCCTCGCCTCCTTTTCCATCATCATATTCATCTTCGTCTTGTGTCAATACCTAATCGGGTCAACGAACTTAGATGGGCACCATCTTGACGATCTTGACGTCGAAGCAGGCGAGAGAAACCAAAACCAAAACAATAACCAAAACCAAAACCAAAACCAAAACCAAACCATGCGGGGTAGAAGTTTGGTATCTCGATACGAAAGCAACATTTGGAGGGAGGCATTGGAGAGAACAATGGCGGAGAGGAAGGGGCGTAGAGCACAAATTGTAATGAAAATGGCAACGAGGGTGAGGTATGGCAGCTCGGAGGTGGCGGCGAAATACACCGACTGTGCAATATGTTTGGAGGAGTTTGAGAATGGAGAGGATTGCCAGATTTTTGTCGTGTGTAAACACATTTTTCATTACTCTTGTATTCAACGTTGGCTTAGGAGGAACATGACTTGTCCTATTTGTCGTTCTCCTATTGCCAATCAAAACTGCTGACATTCTTCATTATCCACATTTAATGTAAATATTTCAAACCATTGTTAACAATAGTGTTTATAAAATAGAGCTTTTGTATGCAAAATTCGATATCAAATAATATTTTAATTAATTGAATTATGTGGAGTATAATCACGAGTCGATCTTGAGATTGAAGCTTTATTTCCTGAATCTTACTTTATGGAACTCAAGCTCGCAACTAAGTGAACGAAACCCCTAAAAAAATCCCACACAAATCATTTTAGAATACATGTAGAAATCAAATTTTCTATAAGAAATTTGAGTATTTAACCTTCGTTTAGGTTGCAAAATACTCGTATCATGTTAGGAATACGATCCTAAAGCTAAGGATACGAAGACGTACCCTTTTTCGATCGTTGGTGACTATTGAATGATTTATATATATCTATGCCTATATATTAAATTTCAAAACTAATGATATGACATTTTAAAAGACATTGCCAATATCACAATTTAAATATTAATTAACTATATTCTTACTGTTCACTAATTAACTTATAAAATCATCATAATCTTCATCAACTCTCATTGGTACAAATCAGGGTGTTAATGCATTAAATTGGGTTAGAAAATTACTTTTCAAATAATTAAAAAATTATTTTAAAGAGATATTAGGAAATAAGTAATAAGAGAATAATTATAAATAAATTACGAAAAACACTTCAACCAATTCAATTTATAAAATTTTAGTTTATTTGAATCCAACTCAAATTTATTCAAATAAGTTCTAACTCGAGCAAAATATTATCCAAATATTCTTAAAATGGGTTTAATAGTTGTTCATGTTCTTGTTAGCTTAACAAAGAAACTCCCACACCAAAAAAAAAAAAAAAAAAAAAAAAAATGGAAACAACAGAGTTTGTTATATGCCATCTCAGTTATTATTGAAACTCAATTTCTTGTTATGTTACAAAAAACCAAAACAAATAAGTGGTGATTGTGAAGCCATGATTGTTCATCAACGCCTCATTTTCTCGTCCCATTTTCCTTAATTTTCCCAGCATCCAAACAACACAACAGATGCCCATCATCGTGCTCTTTGGGTTTGTCTTGACAGTTCTTGTGTTGTTCTCCTTCTTCAGCTTGTGCATTTACATCTGTTTCCAATGCCACACTCAGGGCTTCATAGGCGCCAACCAAACCCACCGTGACAATGGACACGGCATGGCGACAAGGGCGGCCACCGTGAACCCTGAGGAATTGAATCATCAGACTCAAAAGGCGATGGAGAAACTGATGATGCCATTGGTAGATTATGGTTGCAAGGAGAATGATGGGGAAGTGGCGTCGTCGGAGTTGAACGAATGTCCGATATGCTTGGAGGCGTTTGGGAACCGAGTTTCATGCAGAGTTTTCCCTAATTGCAAGCATATGTTCCATACGCATTGCATTATGAAATGGTTGGGGATTAATCTAACTTGTCCCATTTGTCGAACTCACTTGTAACCCGGTGGACGTGTTCATTCATTTGGTTGGGTTGGATTGAGTTACGTTTAATTCTTTTCTCGTTGCTGATCAAAGATGATCAGTCTACGAATTAATGTTCTTCGATAAAATTTGTTTTATTATGTCTATATTCTTCATCAAGAATTTGTATTCTCACTTCTTTTTTCTTGTAATACAGATTAATTAATCGAGATGACATGGAGATGGAAATGAGTCAAACAACGACCATTTTATTTACATGTTCTTAGCCGTCATGTGATATGTTTGAGGTTCATGTAGAATTTTTTCTTTTTCAAGTTATGTTTAGATTAGTAAGTTTACCGTGGTAATATCATTTCATTGACAATTAGTTCATGATTCAATCATAAATTAAGTCTCGTTCCAACTAAACAGAAGGAGGAGCCTCATTGTTTAAGTCTTGAAATCAACACTTGATATCATTTGTAATCGTCAAAACCTACTGCTAATAGATATTGTTGGCTTTGACCCGTTACATATCACCGTCAGCATCACGGTTTTTAAACGTGTCTAGTTGATACAATATGTAACGGGTCAAAGAGGACAATATTTACTCGGGTTGTTACCAATAGTATCAGAGCTAGACATTGAGTGGTGCGCCCGCGTGGACGCTAGCCCCCAAGGAGGTGGATTGTGAGATCTCATATCAGTGGAAGAAGAAACAAATCATTCCTTAAGGATGTGGAACTCCCCCTATTAGACTGTTCTAAAAACACGAGATTGACATCAATACTTAACAGGTCAAAACGAACAATATTTGTTAGCGGTGAACTTAGACTGTTACATGAATTTATTCATCTACTTTGTCTACACCGGAAAAACATGAATTTAGCTACAAAAGTCTGTCTCACCTATACAAATTAAAGGACAAACGCTCATAGACGAGCCTAATAAAGAGAGATTAAATATTTCATAGGCTAATTTTATGTAAGCTCATTTATAAAATATCCTTACTCATAAATCTCTATATAAAATATTTGGATGAAATTATTTATAACAATAAAGTTTGTGTCGTATCGAATAATAGTAATTTTCATTAACCAACTAATTTCCATCCGTTTCTTTTTATAAATTTTAGAAATAGATTTTAGACTTTTATAAAAAAAGTTATTTAGCTATTATTTTTTTCTAAATTGTAAGAACTAATTTTAAGATTTATTTTTAATTAAAAATAGAGTAATAAAAAAGAATGAATATAAATTAAAATAAATTAAATTCAAAATATAATAACTAAAAGAATATTTTAATTAATCGAAATTTAACGTTTATTCATGAAATTTGTTAATAAAAAAATAATAAAAGTTGGTTTCAAATAAAGGGAAAAAAAAGGTGGGAACGAACAGCCCAAGCAATCTTGGCATCAGTGCAAATACGAGTCACTCGTAGCGGGAGATCATGTCGGTTTGCTCTTCTTCTTCCTCTTCATCATCAGGCGGGTACCTCGGCAGTGCCAAAGCCTGGATCGTGCATGGGATTGTTGCCGGAATCACAATTGGCGCCGCCATCGGAGCTCGAGCTTATTTGGGTCGATCCGGAAAATTTCGGAGCCGCGTTGTCGGAATTATTCCCGCCCGATTCGCCTCTTCACGGTTCCAGGGGAAGCCTCTCGTTGAGATTCTCGGAAAGCCAATGATCCAGGTTAGTTCAATTGATTATCATTCTCGAGTTTATTGTTCGTGCTGTTTCTGGATCTGTCAAGTTCGATTTATACCGCTGGAAATTTTCATTTGTTTCATATCTGATCTGGGTTTTGTTCGTTTCAATTTCATTGTTGATGTGAAAGCTATGCTTTATGAGATGGATCTACCATAAACTATAACGTATATTTGCTTAACTCTTTTAAGTAGGCTTCTGGAGATGAATTAGAGAGGAATCGACAAAATTCCTCCGTATCCATTTGCTTTTTAGGCATTAGAAAATTTGGAAGCTTGATGCTCCATTGTCTTCTCCTCACGACATCAACAATTTCCTCTCATCAATTTTAGTGGCTCACACATTCCCGAAAGAAGATAAGATCCATTGGCTTCAATTCATCATAGATTTATGTTGGCATCTTTAGCTTGAGAGGAAGAATAGAATCGTCAACAATAAAGAAAACTATTTTGTAGTTTCTTAGTGTAAATGTTATGCTTCTTAAAATGCTTACAGTTCAAATACTCTTTGTTTCAAGTGGAGAAGTCCTTTCTAATCTTCTTGTTTCGGGTTCGGCTTTCTTCCCCTATTTTGAAATTTCATATTGTTTATAAAAAAAAAAAAATTATCCCAAAGAAAGGAGAAGTAAATCAACCAAACCATCAGTTTTTCATACCAAATCTAAAATTGAATCCTCTGGATTTATTCAATATTTATTTTTTGGAAGCAATTATGTCTATTATAAGGATCTATATGTCGGTTGGATCAGTTCTCGTAGGTTGAACTTTCAACTCTTGTATTTATTTCCGTAGAATGTTGTATTTGATGGAATTTGGTTTGCATTGGCTGGTGGGATGTTGTAGATTTGTACTTTTTATGATTTAACTGACATCATAGATCATTTGGACCTTAGTTTATCTTTCTAAAGAGCTAATAGTCATTAAATCAACATTTTTCTGGTGTTGGATGTTGATTTACTTTGCAGTAAGAGTGAAGCCTACGACATTGGCTTATGATTTTATATTGTTCATGTTTTGAATCTGCCAAAATTTTAATATGCCTATGAAATTCATATTCTACAGAGAACTTGGGAAAGGGCAAAAATGGCTACTACATTGGATTGTGTTGGTAAGCATGTGTGCTTTGTTCTTCTCGCTTTATGCGTACCTCATCCTTACCTTTCAATTTGAAATCTTTCCAGTTGTAGCAACCGACGATGCAAAGATTGCACAATGCTGTAAAGGATTTGGTGCTGATGTTGTAATGACATCAGAGTCTTGCCGGAATGGTAAGCATTGTGATTATTATATAACAATCTCAAGATTAGTTTTGAAGTCTTAATGTTTTCAGTATGAAACTACTTTAGGAACTGAACGTTGTAATGAAGCACTTCAGAAGCTGGAGAAGAAATACGATATCGTTGTAAATATTCAAGGAGATGAGCCGCTTATCGAACCGGAGATCATTGATGGCATTGTTAAAGCTTTACAGGTGAATGTTTTCATGCCTTTTGGTTAAAATGGCATTGTTATTATATAGGATTGAAAGTTTGATGTTGCAATACAAGACTCCATACTACTAAATGGACAGTTATAAACTAATTGAAGGTTGCCTTATCTCAAGCTCTTGTTCTGTATGGTGTGCAGGCTGCCCCGGATGCAGTGTTCAGCACGGCAGTGACATCCTTAAAACATGAAGATGCATTCGACCCCAATCGCGTGAAGTGCGTAGTGGATAATCATGGATACGCTATTTATTTTTCAAGAGGATTGATCCCTTTCAACAAGTAAGATTTCCTTTTCCATCTTGGGCTTCCCTTGCGTTTGATAGTGCATCCTTACGTTATTTGATTGTCCCTGTTCGAGATCAAGTTGCAGCATCCATTATAGATAGGTTCGAGTTGTCGGGAAATTTAACGAGTTACATCAATTCATTGATGCAGGTCAGGAAAGGTCAACCTTCAATATCCTTATTTGCTTCATCTTGGAATCCAGGTATTAATGAATTGTATACGAGATGAATTCATTTTTCTGTAATGCCAGACTGAAGGAACATTCCTTTTTCTTCTATTTTCCTTTCCAGAGTTTTGATTCGAAATTTTTAAGTATATATCCTGAACTCCAATCAACACCATTGCAACTAGAAGAGGATTTAGAACAGCTAAAAGTGTTAGAACATGGCTACAAAATGAAGGTACACCTCAACTTCTTATGAACATAGCATCTTTTCCCACTTTTGGGAAATTTGTATACTTTATAAAACCAGGCATTTTTGTTCTTCTAGTGCGTTTAGAATAACTTTTGAAATGGAATCATTTTTTAATATAGTTAACCAAACAAAGTTGTTATTTAAAGCATTTTTTTAAAGAACAAATGTAAGATATGGAAACTTTTTTTATCAAAAGAATTTCTTCAAAAAAGTGTTTAAACTTACAATTAGATGGAGACGAGCGTACGCTTAATGATAACCGATCCAAGTTTCATATTTTGTCTGGGAAAGAAGTTCTGTGTTTTCACTTGTGAAAAGGTATGGTGCCCCAATGTTGAAACTGTCATTTTGTTTTGCAGGTGATTAAGGTCGACCACGAGGCGCACGGTGTTGATGTTCCTGGAGATGTAGAAAAGATAGAATCTTTTATGAAGGAAAGGAACCTTTCTTAATTAAGATTAACCAAAGAAAGCTATACTTTCAAATTGATAACAATTTCGTTTTCGTTATTAGTAGTTGTAATTGGTATTGGGTTGAACAAAATATGCTGTTATTTTTTCAAAACTATATCTTTTAGCTCTTCGTTTCTGATATTTGTGACATATTGATTTATTTGTATAGTTATTGAAGTAAATTTGTTGATTAATGGGTTAGCTTTGGTTCATTTTAATTTGTAATGTTGAATTATGATACTTGGAGTTGGAGTTGGAACCTTGGTGCCTATTCTTTTTACATTAAACATGGAGATTCAGATGCCCATTGTTAAGACAGCTCTCTGAACTCATGTGAGCGAGCCCATTGAGTCTTCAGCTGTTCACTTGCAAGACATCCAAAGCCTACTTGCCCAGTCTCTGGTCAATTTGGACAACTTCGAGTGCAATATGCTATCATTGTTTAGACAAAGAATATGGAGATGCACAAGCAAGTTCAAGTAATCAAGGAGGAAACACACAGGAATTCAAACGCTTGAGACTATGACAAATTCTAGCTGGTTAGCTGACAAGGATGTTAGTGGTCACGATAATGTTTGTCTAAGATAGTCTGTGACTATATGTCGGATGTCTTGGTCATGTTTGTCTTAGAGCGGGTTGTCCTGATCGTAATTACACTTGTCTAGGACATTTTGCAGCCGCATGTTGGATGTCTCGGTCATGTTTGTCTAAGACATGTTGTCCATGAACCTATGTCTATTCTAAATTTCTTTTACTTGCTTTCATGTTAGATAAAACTTCACTACTTGTTGAGTTAATACGAGGTCAATCATGTTTACACCTATTAGAATTAAAATGCCTTAAAGTGAGAGACATGACTAATTATCAATTCTTACTCTCTTAATTATATGCTAGGAAAGTTATTCATCACATCGTTCTTGGCTTCTTTGACATAACTATAAAAATTATTATTCTTACGACATGAGCTATGAAGGTTATTGTTCTATGAAGGTTATTGTTCTATGAAGGTTATTGTTCTTAGCTTCTTTGACGAGTTAGAGATGGGTAGAATATTGTCCATTTCAAACCTAAATAATTTAGAAATGCCACCGTCATCCACGCGTTACATTTCTATTCGTCTGTATTTAGACCTGCATCAACGTCACGTCAAGTTCTCTTCCTTTCGAACTTCTTTCAGTGCCACGTCAATCCAAAAACTCAATTACAAATTTTGCCCAGGACCTTCACGCTTTCTCGCCTCGCACTCACAGCTACCGTTCTCTCTAATTCCTTCCTCCCATGGCTACGGTTCTCGGTTCCCTCGCTCTTCCCTCTTCCTCCGTCTTGGCTTCCACCACCTTCTCCGGCCGTCGGACCTCCCTCGTGCTTCCGCGCTACAGAGCATTGAAGATCGGACACAGCTTCACTTCCCATTCTGTAAAATCTGCGAGATCGAATGCCAGATTTACTCATCGTTCTGACAGAGTCGTCTGCGACGGTCAGGAAACTTCTTCCATAGGTTCGGATTTTGTTCTGTTGTTTTCTTTTATTGTGTTGTTTGGCTTTTGGGAGAAGGGAAGAAAGGAAAATTTAGGACACTTGTAAGTTTGGTGAATTGATGAAGATCATACTCTTGAGTATCTATTGGTGTTTGGTTTGGTTTTGATAAAAGTTGAAACTAAACTGTATAATTAACAAATAGTAGGTTAGATCATTACTAGAGTTATATGCGGCAACTACTTGTGCGTTAAATGAAGTCTCACAAATAGTGTCTACCATTAAAAGCTTCGAACACATCGAGTATATTGTAGTTGTCCATGTTAAGTGAAGTGACCTCTTGTATTTAGTTGATTTTGTGGGTTCAGTAGCTGACTGATGAAAAAGGAGTTGGCCAATTTTCAAAGAAGCTGCATTAAATTGTCAATTTTCAATTCCTTTTTTATCCAATCAACTACTTAACTTTGACAGGTAGCTAACTGTCAGGCATTCAATCCTTCTCTTATTTATAAGGGGAGGATTGTTTATGAGGTTTTATCAATAGGGATATAATTATAACTTTTAAAACCATAAGGATTAAATCTAACTTTCTCCAAACTATTGGGATCACATTTGTAATTCACCTACTATGTTTTAGTCCTCTGAAGCCTGACAGATTTGAAGGTAAAATCCTGGGATGGCAAGTTGCAATCAATCTAAATTGGGCTGTGGAAATGTGTTTCCATTTGAAAGTGAAAGATCAAGCATTAAAATTTCAAATGAATTACTACATTAACCATAAAGATTGGATAGCAAGAGTTAACTACTGATTAAGGTATATTCTCTCGACCAAGAGATCATATATCTATAACTAAATTATGCTTAACTCATGTGCTTAAGATATGTACACTTGGTCATAATGTCCAAAGTGCTCCATATCCCTCCCGTAGAGGTTTTCTGGGTTTGTTGCAGTTGGAAGAGAGGTGCCTCTGATACCAACTTAAGTTATAAAATGAAGGGAATGTACTTAATGTTGCTCAGTGGGCAAAATAAATTATATGTGATTGGAGCTCTTCTTTAGTTTATATGTTGCCATGGTCAATCAGTGGACACCCAATAGGTGAGTGACAAACCAATTCTCTGCACCCTTGTGAATATGATTTCTGCTGTGCCTGGGTCTTATGCCGTTATAGAGAGTCGTCAGTAGGGAGCTGGTCTGATACTGGCTCAGTTTGTTTGGAATTTTGGAGAAAGTGGTTTACTCGTCTCTCTCTCCTGGTTCTTCCCGGTAACCCCATTCTTTTGCGTGTGTATGAGTGAGCATGTTTTGGTGTATGCATCTTGATTTGCAGGGGAGCCAACATTTACCTTTTATGTATGGCATGAGATTCTGAGTCATTTACAGCATTTGTTGTTGGTTGTCTTTCCTGCACACCATTTTTTATTGTTATTATGAATCGTTAATTTGGAATAACAGATGTTTAAGTATAGAAAAACGTTTACCAAATAGTGCATTTAAGCTATACCTTTATATTCTAATATATACACATGCATGAACATATTTATTTTATCTATGAAGATCATGGGGTGGGGACGTCGAAATATTTAGTTTTGAGTATTAAGAATGTGATACTTTCAATTGACTTTGAGTTCAGGCTCTGTATCATTGGTTGTACTGATTCTTGATCACTTGCCTTTGGGATAATTCCTGCAGTGTGACAGCACTCAGTTCATGTTAGAACATTCACATAGGAATTTGTTATCCATAAAATAACATTTTAATCTATATTTTCTTTTGACTCTTCTCTTCCGTCTGACTGATTCTCAGATCAGCAATATACCTGCAACTACTTTTTATTTCTCTAACTTTCTTCCCCCCAAAAGAAAGCCCTTGTCGAGGTTTAACAAATCACATGTTTCTCGAATGTTGCAGTACCTTCTGCTTCAGAAGCTACTTGGCAGTCACAGGTTATTGAATCTCGTGTACCGGTTCTAGTTGAATTCTGGGCTCCATGGTGCGGTCCTTGCCGAATGATTCATCCGGTTGTTGATGAACTATCCAAGGAGTATGCAGGAAAGTTTAAATTTTACAAGGTAAATACTGATCAGGAAGCTGAGATTGCATCCCGATATGCTATCAGAAGCGTCCCCACTGTCATTATCTTCAAAAATGGTGAGAAGAAGGAGGCAATAATTGGTGCAGTTACCAAAACAACTCTGACTGACAGCATGGACAAATTCTTGTAGAGATGGGTGATAAAAAAGTACGTATAGAAAGAATAAAAGCTGCTTTCTCATAGTTTATTGAATTTCTCCTCTAAATCTGATGATGAATTCTCTAGTCTGGAAATAAACTCTCCTCGTTTTTACAAATAGTTCTTAATGCAACTGTATCTTCTTTGGTCATGTTTATTGCCACAATACCTTTTCTATGAATGCATCTTTTTTTTTTTTTGAATTATTAGCTTTTCTAGTTTAATAGACATGAAGTTCTAGTATGTATTGGTATTTGCATTAAACAATACATGCTTGCAAACCGTATGCTAGAATGTATGAATCACTCATCACATGGTACAGAAGAGAGAACTTTTGGTGCATATTGTAAAGGAAGCCTCTTAACTGACCAGAGAAGAAGTGTTCATCGTTGCTTTGAGTCATTTTAGGAGGTTTGAAGCAGTAAAAGAAAAGGCATTTGAAATTTGTGCACATTAGGCAACTGCGTTAGAATTAGAGTGGCCTTGGAATTGTGCATTTGCCACTCTAACTTTATCATAGAGGATAGGGTTGCATAGCTTGATGTAGGAGATTAGATTTTCTTGGTGCTTTATTGAGAAGTATACAAGAAATAAAAAACGAGCCCAACGAATCTTGCAAAATCAACTAAGATCATAATTACAAAAAGGCCTAGTTATTGTTATCCATAAAGAGGCATTAAACTTCACCATCTCGAAGGAGGCATATGAATATAGGCTTCATATGGCTCATTTTTTAATTATTGTTTCTACATTTAGAGACTTTTAGAAAATTAAATTTATATGAGGAGTTGGTAAAACTAAGATATGTAAATCTAAGTTGTGAATTTTCAATACCTTGTACAAGTGTTATGAGATTTTAATTTAATCCTAATTAGTCTTAGAGTTTGAAAGAAATAGATTTCCAATTGGTTATTGAATATAAAAAAATATTTATAAAAAAAAAAAAACATATCATCAATGAATAGTTAGCATAAGTTGATTGACATATTTTCCTTCCACTAACCCAACTAATGTTTAGAGCTGCTCAAAGATCATTTAAGCGTGTTAAGCTATTCCCACGCTTGAAGCCTGGTCATGTGTAACGACTAATATTCACCGGTAGTAGATATTCTCTTCTTTTGACTTTTCCTTTTGGACTTCCTCTCAAAACTTTAAAATGGGTCTTCGAGAGGAAGGTTTCCACACTCTTATAAATAGTGGTTTGTTCCTCCCCAATCAATGTGGGACATCACATCATGTGACTTGGTTTTCTAGAGTCTCAACCATTGACATTAAATCTTGAGTGAACATATCTTCCAAGCACCCAGTTATTGCATCAGTTTTGTTAGCTCTAGTGGCAATCTCATCCAAAATATTGAAATTGTCAAAGACTTCTTATAATGCATCAATTCTTTAACCTCGACCAATTAGTCAACGTGGAACCTACCAACTGTTTGGTTGTATACATGATTACTATTTTGCTTGGTTGCATACATGATTACTATTTCCATTTCTAGAAGCAGTCATACCCTAAACTTAACCATGCCAATAGAATTCTCAAATGTTGAACAAAGAACTCCAAAAGAAAAGGAGTCAAGGCTCCTCGAAGGCATAGTAAAAAATGACTAAGACTCCAAAAGAAAATAAGTCGAGCCTCGATTAAGGGGAGGCATTGGTGTATGAAAGTCCCACATCGGCTAATTAAGGGAATGACTCCATTGGTATGAGCTCTTTTGAGGAAGCCCAAATCAAAGCCAACTCAATTCTAGTACCAAGTGTCACAGTCGCACTTTTTCGAAGCTCGCACTTTTTCGAAGCTCACACAGTGATTGTCTGATACTACCTCTTACCCTTAACTAAGTTAGCCAACTCAAACTTGGAGTCTATCTCACAACCTCCCTCACATTCTTAAAAAATAGTTTTAGAAAATGAGATTAGAGGAACCTTTTAAAAAAACATCTTGGAAAGAAAGGAAATGTTATACGTTATTGCCTAATATAGTTCTTTTAGAAAAAAGAAAAAAAAGAAAAAAGAAAAAAGAATTGCATGTGGATGAATTGGTTGGAAATTTAGGTAATAAATCACCGACAAAATTAAGTAAGAGAAAAACAAAAGATTCAAAACCTCACATGCCACTGCTCTTAGACTGTCTGATCATTCTCACACGTAACCGTACATATCTCTCTGTACTTTGATCTTCATCTCCAAAACCGCGTTCTCAGTTTATATATATATATTTCTATACCTTCACCGACAACCTTCCTTTCTGCCACTATAAATGGAGCCCTAACATTAGCATTCTACGTACACATTTATAATTTTCCTTTTGTTCTTATTAATATTTCTGTTTGTTTCTCGGGAAAATTTATAGGATGGTAGCCATGATTTATGGGAATGGTGGGTTTGTTTGGGTTTTGTATGCGTTGTTTTTCATGCTGGTTGGTGGGTCCTTCGTCCATGGGGACGGTGGTGCTTGGCTTGATGCTCATGCAACATTCTATGGAGCTGATCAAAACCCTACTAGCCTTGGTGAGTCTTTGAATGAAATAATTATTAAATGAGATTTTAAAAAAAAAATAATTATTATTTTTGAAAACTAGTTTTTTTATTTTTCTAAAAATATGACCTTTTTAAATTCTTAAAATATACATTAAAATTGAGAAAATTGTTAGTACACATGTTTCCAATAATTTAAGAAAATGCACAATTTATTAATCATACATATCTGGCAATCAACTTTAATATTTGAGCATTATGCCATTTAATCATTTTCTTGATATATATATATATATATAAAAGAAAATAATATATTAATATTGTAATAAAGTTATGTGATTATTTATTTAATCAGGAGGAGCATGTGGTTACGACAATACATTTCATGCCGGATTTGGAATAAACACGGCGGCGGTGAGCGGCGCACTTTTCAGAGGAGGAGAGGCTTGCGGCGCTTGCTTCCTAGTAATTTGCAACTACAACGTGGACCCCAAGTGGTGCCTCCGCCGCCGCGCCGTCGCCATCACCGCCACAAACTTCTGTCCCTCCAATAACAACGGGGGCTGGTGCGACCCCCCTCGCGCGCACTTCGACATGTCGTCACCTGCCTTTCTTACCATTGCTCGCCAAGGCAACGAAGGGATCGTCCCTGTCCTTTACAAGAGGTACAACATGATACAATATTTAGTAAGTTGGTAGAAATTTAAATAAAACGTTCAATTTTTTTTAATATATGCTTTTAAATGTTGTATTTTAAAGGGTAAGTTGTAGAAGGAAGGGAGGAGTTCGATTCACATTGAGAGGACAATCAAACTTCAATATGGTGATGATATCGAACGTCGGTGGCAGCGGCGACGTCAAGGCTGCATGGGTTAAGGGGTCGAGGACGAGGACGTGGATGCCCATGCATCGTAATTGGGGTGCAAACTGGCAGGCCAATGTCGACCTTCGAAACCAAAGAATGTCGTTTAAGGTTACTCTAATAGATGGGAGGACATTGGAGTTTGTCAATGTGGTTCCTTCTTCTTGGTGGTTTGGACAGACGTTTTCTTCCATGGTTCAGTTTTCTTAGGGCTCGAACCTTCATGTTTGATCATTCATTCTTTTTTACTTATTTTTATTAAAATTGATTTCATGTTTATTTTCTTCTTGAAATTATAGTTGTTGAATTTTATATCATTTTAATATAATGATATAAAACTATAATTATGTTGAATTTATAATTCTTCCACCTTAGTTTTCCATCGATTTATGTATTATTTCGACCTATCATTTAGTATTTCTTTTATGTAATGTTTAAATTCGCATCCTATAAATAATTTTAAATTTTAGCCACAAACATCAATTAACCAAAGATTAAAAGATTATAATATATTAAGGAAAGAATATGTTTATTTATTCAAATCTTTTATACTTCAAATAATTTTAATATATATTAAATAAAAATAATAATGATTTATCTTTAATTTTGCTCATCTAATTCAATTTTCTATTGTTCTTTCTTTTTAAAATTACATAATATTATGTAAATACATTTGAAAGAAATTTGTTGAAAAGCAAAATCTATTAGTTATAAATTAAAATAATCTTACTAACTTAAAAGTGCTTAAAAAATTAGATTTATTTTTATTTTATTTTTTAAATCACTTGAGATGAATTATTTAATAATAATTTTAAAAAATTTAACTGGAAATGCTCGAGACATGGAGTGAGAAATATATAAAAGATGTTTATAGAGACGATACGATTACAACCCTAGAAACTATTTATTCTATTTCAAACGCTGAAGGTGGCGCTCAAAACTGTCGAAACTCGGTTTTTTTTCCTGAAATTGGAGGTTTCCGGAGGTCCGGCCTTGGCGGCGGCATTGGCAATGTTCAAAATCTTGAGGAGCTTTTCTTCAGGTTTCACGAGAACGGCAAGAACGGAGACAGATGCATTCTGTTTTGTAGCGTTGAGATTATACAGCGCGAGACGAACCTGCAACCGAAGAAACCTCTTCGCCAGGATCAGTCCTCTCGGTTCTCCTGAGCTTAGTGTAGTTCCGATTCTTGATCAGTGGATTCAGGAAGGCAGGATGATCAAGGACTTTGAGCTGCGGAGAATCGTTCGCGACCTTCGTAATTGCCGGCGGTATGGCCAAGCCCTTGAGGTGAGCGCATTTGAATAACACACTCTAATTTCTACTTGATCTTTTGCCATTTCCCGTTAAAGGAATGTTTTTATTGTACATGATGTCTGTTGGATGGAGTAAAATTCGTGTGTTTTTATTGAATGAATGATGTTGAGAGAGGATTCTCAAATCGATTGATTGATGAAAATATTGTGGACGAAGGCACAAACTGGAAGTTCGCGTTTTGAATTCTGAAGTAATCACATGTGGTCAAGTTAATTGTGGTTTTTCAACATGATTCTAGCAGTTGCAATGCATTAGTTGCAGTTTCACTAGAGAATGAAAAGTTTCATGTTATTTAGCACTAGGTTGATGTCCTAAATTGTTCTCTTCCCATTTGGTTTTTCATCAATCCTAGATCTTATTTTTGAAATATCTATAAGATTTCTGGATATTTGATCATTTGTTCTTCTTTTGGATTATTCAAATTGAAGGTGTCTGAATGGATGCGTAGCAAGGGACTTTTTTCCTTTACAACTAGAGACTTTGCTGTACAGCTTGATCTAATCGGCCGAGTTCAGGGGCTCGATTCCGCAGAGAAGTATTTCAGCAGTGTTTCTAACCAAGAGGAAATGGGTAAACTCTATGGTGCTCTTCTAAATTGTTATGTCAGGGAAGGCCTTGTAGATAAGGCCCTTTCCCATATGCAGAAGATGAAAGAGATGGGTTTTGCTTCCTCTCCCCTCTGCTACAATGATATAATGTGTCTATATTTGAACACTGGCCAGGTCGATAAAGTTCCGAATGTACTTTCTGAAATGAAGGAGAATGGTGTTCTTCCTGACAATTATAGCTATAGAATTTGCATCAGTTCTTATGGAGCTAGGTCTGATCTAATCGGTATGCTGAAGGTTTTGAAAGAAATGGAGAGTCAAACTCACATATCTATGGACTGGACTACTTATTCAATGGTTGCCAATTTTTTCATAAAGGCTGGTATGCACGAGAAAGCAATGAGTTACCTTCGGAAATGCGAGGACAAGGTCAATCAAGACGCTCTCGGCTTCAATCATCTCATTTCACTTTACACCAGTCTGGGATGTAAAGACGAAGTAATGAGACTGTGGGCTCTCCAAAAGAAGTGCAAGAAGCAAGTCAATAGGGATTATATAACCATGTTGGGTTGTTTGGTTAAGCTTGAGTTTCTTGAGGAAGCTGAGAAATTGGTCAAGGAATGGGTGTCATCTTGCGAGTGTTATGATTTTCGGGTTCCGAATGTTCTTCTCATCGGATACTCGAAAAGGGGGCTAATTGAAAGAGCTGAAAAGATGCTCCAAAACATCATCAGTGACGGGAGGATCCCACCACCAAATAGTTGGGGCATTATTGCAGCAGGGTACTTGGAAAAGCAGAACCTGGAGAAAGCTTTCAAGTGCATGAAGGAAGCTGTGGCTGTACAAGAGCAAAACAAAGGGTGGAGGCCCAAACCTAGCGTCTTATCAAGCATACTGCGATGGCTATCTGAAAATGGAAGATATGAGGAGCTGAAAGAGTTTCTGAGCTCATTGAAGACTGTTCCTTCCATGGACGGAAAACTAAGTAATGCCTTCGATGAGCTTCTGGAAACCTTAAAAAACAATGATGAAACAACGGCCGATGCTCTTAAGGAATCACAACCTTGTTTAGCTCAGCTAGATTAATGGTATGGAGGTAGTATCTTATAGGTAGTATGTGTATATAATTTAAATTAGAACTCATAAAAGACCAGTTGTCAAGTGGGTTAATTCTTATTGAGTTGGTCGGATTTAGATAATAGATCTGTATTTTAATGCCACATCATATTTTGTTACATAAAATATAATGGATACTAATCATTATTATCTAAATCCTATTTTGATCTACGTATTATAATTTTTTTTGGTTCATTTGGTTCTTTAGTTCTTCGGTTTCATTTTTTTTTTTAAGTTTTTAATTTAAGAGCCTATTAAACACCATATTCAAAGTTTAGCAGTTTAATTAATAATGTACCAAAAAATAAAAAATATAATCAATAATTATTTTTGCTAAATATGTATTTTATTCCCTGATGTTTGAGTTTTTTTTTAATAATTTAGTTTTTAATATAATTTGAGGATATATGCCACATTTAAAATTCTCCCTCACTTATTTTTAGCTTCAGCAAAAATAATCACATCAATATTTATAATCATTCAATTTTAATATTTATTCACGAGAATTAAATGATTAAAATAAAAAATAAAAAAAAGAGAGGTTTTGTTTTTTTTTTTTTTCTCTTTTAAATTTGGGCTTTGGATCTAAAGAGATGGCCCATCGGGCCGACTAATGCATCACAATGTATGTAAAGAGAAACTTGCATCTCGCGTCTTTCGACTCCCATTTTCCATTGTTCTTGTTCCAACTCCTCCTCAAATTCTCTAAACCCAAACTAAAATGGCCAGAGATCGAAATGGTGAGCTATCTAATAAGAGAGGAAGTTCCGACAACGACGAGGACAGCGGAGGAGGAGTAGGAGGAGTAGGTGGAGAAGACAACGAGGCTCCTTCGAAGAGAAATTCTGGCAGGAGTTCCGATGTGGAAGAAGGGCGAAAACGCAGCAAATCAAGAAGAAAATCGCGGGACAGTTCGGATTCCGACGAAAAACATGACAGGAAACGCGGGAAGAGTTTGATAAGAAAGGGCAAGTCCCGCAGACGATACAGTAGTAGTGAGGAGGATTCTGATTCCGAGGATGCGGAATCTGAAAGCTCGGAGTCTGATTCGGATTCGGAGCACTCCGACGCGGAATCAGCGTCTAATAGTTCGGGTTCGGAAGGCGAGAGCGAGGAGGAGAGGAGGAGGAGGAAGAGGAAGGAAAAGAGGAGAAGAAGAGAAAAGGAGGAGAGAGAGCGGAAGAGGAGGAGAAAAGAGAAGGAGAAGAAGAGAAGGAGAAAAGAGAAGGAGGAAGAGAAACGAAGGAAGGAAAAGAAAAAGAAGGAGAAGAAGGAACGGGGAAAGAAGGGGGCTGTGACGAATTCGTGGGGAAAATACGGGATTATCAAAGAAACTGATATGTGGTATGTAAACAATGAATTCCATATATATTTCTCTGTGTTTTTTGAAATTCAAGTCCTTTGCTTGGTCCTCATTCTTGCTTAACTGTTTGGCTTTGGTGAAGCTGTGCATGTAATGAACTCAGCCTGATATTTATTGTACTATGAAGGAGTTTCTACATTGGTTGATGGTGTTTTCTGCACAACCATTTATTTACTCCTTGCAACCTGTTCTTACTGACCATATTTTGTAGGAACAAGCGACCAGAGTTCACTGCATGGCTGGCTGAAATTAAAAAGGTAAATTGGTTTATGCTCAATATTTTCCATGAGCTCAGTAATACTTTCTTATGACATTTGTTAGCTGTAGTATTATCCTGTTATTGCCATTATCAAGGTTGTGGAATAGATGATAGCTCTATGCTATGGTTGAATTTCCTTCAATACAATGATGCCAACCTCAGTATTTCTTCAATATATGGATCTGAATTAACTAAAACCAATTGTTTTTTACGTTACTCAATCCAGATAACCCTCTTTTGCTGTTTTTGGACTCAAACTTCTTAGTAGTGTGCATAGTCTTTTGATTGAACATGAGAGTCTACCAAGGTGGGAGGAATTTATGATTTAACTGCTCTCGCAGGTGTGGTATTTTTACTAATTATATTTCTTTGAATGTTCCATTGCACATAGGTGAACTTGGAAAGTCTAGCTAATTGGGAAGAGAAGCAGATGTTTAAGGAGTAAGTAGATGTACTGATCGTGTTTAGTTTACTCCTCAAAATCATGACTCTTGAAGATAGCTGTTTATATTTATTTCTTGAATTGTCACTTAAGTCTATATTTGAAAAAAATAATAAAAATTGTAAATAACTTTAATCTTGCTCATCTTGTGATGATTGTTTGTACAGATTCATGGAGGACCATAACACGGCCACTTTCCCATCTAAAAAGTAAGGTTCAGAGTGCTTTTTTGCGTATGTGCAGCTGATATATTATTGTTTGAGAAGGTCGTTTGAAAGAAATGGACAAAAAATGCTAGATGAAACATTACTGTGGTCAATATTTCTTGTAGGGTTGTATAATACTTTAAATTCGAGCTCTATTTTTATCTTGTGTAAGAACTGAAGTTTTTCTTTGAAGATCAACTCATCTACTCGTGTTAATCCTGCTTTCACTTATTAGATGGGTATTCATTTTGTTGCTCGAAAGGAAGCCATCCATCATTCGATCCACTTGTATTTTTATGTTATGTGATTTCAGGTACTACAATCTTGATGCCTATTACCAGCATAAAATGCTAAAAGATATGAAGAAAGGCCACAAAAAGATTTTGGCTGGGGAACGCACAGTGTTTGATGATGAAGAACAGAGGAGGTACTTTCTTCTTTTCTTCCTCTTTCCTTTTGAAGGCCTCATATTTGGAATTTTTGTTCATTTGGTGGTTGAGCATGGATGATGATGATGGAGCTTTACCACTCTTCTCAAGAATTCACAAGGAAATTCTTTATTCAGTTTTCAAAAGTAATTGAAGCTTAAGAAACTATAAACGAACTAACTAAAAAACTGACAATTACACCAAAAAAATGTTTAAGAAACTAGCAAACTATTACTTAAATTAATTAACCAATTCTCTAACTCACTACATCATTTGGAGTGATGTCTTGTTCTTGGAGTTAATATGTAACTATTATTAAATTGTATCATGTGGTCTATGTTGACTTCCCCCACGGCCACACCCCCTAGAAAGAAAATAAAACAATGAAATGAAGAATAGAAAGACAGAGATGGTCAAGTTGTTTTGAATATTATCTGTTGGTTCAGTTAATAATTTCACTCGACTCTTCAGGCAAGAACTACTCGTGGAACGTGAAAAACACAAGGAAGAACAAGTGGAAGCCTTAAAGCGCTCGATGCAGACTGGAATGGTCAGTGATTTTAGTCTCTGGAAGTAGGTTTTGGATTATCAAATTTTATTGCAAGTTTCTAACATCCATACTTCACAGGCACAAGCAATGAAAGAACAAGCTCGACTCAGGGAGGAGATGGCTTACCAGTATAAGCTTGGAAACTTTGAGGTAGGCATAAATGTGAACAAAGTTCTCTTGTAGTTTCATTTGGATGCAATCTCAAGGCTCTTCTTGAATTTATCATAGGCTGCAGCTGCCATCCAGCGAAGATTGGACCCAGATGTTGCCCTGTAAGAGAAGAGTCTGTGTTTTGCTCGAACGTCTCGTGTTTGGTACTACATGGTTCGACACTGCAAGAACTCTGAAGTCCTTGAATGTCGTCTTTGGATTTGCAACAAAGGGAAGCTCTCCAACCCAATGATATGGAATTACCTTGGTAAATTTGTAGCAAGCATCCCATGATAGTAGATGAGTGGTTTTAACTTGTCATAACGTTTTGTATGGTAAAAAGAAAAACATTTCCGTTGCCATAATTAATCGTAGTAATAGTTAGCAGCCAAAATGTGGCTCATGAATTTGAGGGTATGTCTTCCTCAGAAATGGAGTTTTGGCATATTTAGCAAATTTCTTTTGTGCAAAGGTCTGAACAAATGGGTAGGAATTTTTTTTTTTTCGTTTTTCTAATATACTACAATGTGTTGCACAATAATTATTATTATTGATATCAATCTAGTAGATGTAGAATTTATTATCGATTGAAAAATCTAAAAACAATACTTTTAATTTAATATATCATAAATTATATGGTAGTATAAAATAATAATTGTATTAAAATATATAACAAAAAAAAAAAGATTAAAAATTAATTAAACAAAACAAGGAAATACAAAATTATGTTTTCAAGGGAACCAGGAAGCGCGAATGAAACCACCACCAGATTTCCATTTCATATTCATATTCACCGCTGATTCGGCCCTCTGCTTGCGAGTGCCCCCACGCTGCTTCCCAAACTTCCATTGCTAAAATCCTAAACCCCTTCACCAGTTTGCGGGGAAGATCTGTTCAGTGCGAAAAGCACAATACAGAACAACAAGTTAAAGCTTCTCACTCGAAGAGCAGCACAAGCCTGTTAAAGGTAGCTCTCTCTCTCTCTCTCTCTCTCTCTCAATTGTGTATTGCTCTTTTCTGTTCATGTCTGATCTCAAGTTTCCCATGTTTAATTTAATCTGGATTTATTTGAATGTACCGCTTAGATTTGTTTCTTTCAGTTGTTTATCAGAAATTGTAACGTCGTACTGAGTAATTGGAGTTTTATTTTGGTGGGAACCCTTCAATTTTCGCCGGAGTTCGTTGATTGCCCTCATACTTTTTCCTTAATTGCTGTCTCGTCATTTTGAGAAGAGGGGTCGATCCGTAATTGTTTATCTTTTTTTTATTTATTATTATTTAAATACCTTTTTCTAGTTCATATGAATGTTGTTTTAGCCTTTTGAAGGAATTGGGATGACGGCTGAGACCTAAATCGATTGAATCATCTGGTTAATTCATTAGAAAAATGTAAAGAATTACGGACGGACTAGGAGATGAGTTTTGGACCTCCTGACTATGATTTTTAGACAATATACTTCTACTTTACCTGTTTTTTGAATGTGGTGGTACCTTCTTGACATTGAATCTTCCCTTGCCGAGTTTTAATCTGATTAATGTCTGTTAGTCAATGATCATTTATTTTCTTCTCCACCTTGACTACTTGAACTGATCCCATTTGGTGATCAATACCCTGTTTTCGTTATTGTTTGTCATTGTTTCCTGCTGCTTTGTTCTAGAGAGAGCCACATATTGGATCAATTGCTGTCTTATCAACCTCCCTGAACCATGTCTAGCATTCAGATTTTTTCCTTAGTTCCACACTGTTACATCTAGCTCTTAAGAGTTTAAAAGGTTGACCCTATCATGTCATGTCTTCGTCCCTTTCGGATGCTCGATGTTCTGTGTGCTGTAATTACTGACTATTTGCTCAATATTTTCAGAAAGATATGGGAGGCAGAGGAGTTATTGGTCATAAATGGTTCATGAGGGTTCTTTGGGTCTGTGCCCTCGGTAGTGCGATCGGTAATTACTTGTAATCTTACATCAATACTTGCGAAGTAACATTCTTTATCAAATCTTCCCAACTTGCTAATTTTTGTGAGTTGTCTAGGTTTGTATATGGTTGCTCAAGAAAGACAATTACAGAACAGGCAAAGAATGTTGGCTGAGAGTTTGAAAGATGTGGAATCAGGAGGCTGTGGGGAAAGTGTTTAGGCTTCTGAGGGAGTTGTCGTAATGTGAGCTCCGGACAATCAATAATGTGAGTTTCCAACAATGTGAAATAATTAGAGCCATGTTTAGTATTGAATCTGGATTTCATTTGAATTCATGGGATACAATTCATTATACTGAATTGGTGTTTAGTAGGCCATTTCGAGAAATGGGATTGAGTAACAGATGTTTCAAAAGTTCATTATTTCAAGAACACAATGTCCTTGCAACATGAACGTCCATCTTCTGCATAGCAGCAACATTTCCTACGGCCTGACATCACAATGGCCTAAACAATCAAACAAGCAATGTTTTTCGATACCGACACAAAGACTATCAACCACGAACTTTGTTCACAACATAGAATAGTAGAGAAGGCAACCTATAGGCTTCTATAAACTGGATTGAAAACCNCAGAAAGGTGAAAAACAAAACTATCTCGTAGCGGGATATGATCGAAAAGGACATCTACGAATCTCATTTGTAGGTACTCATGCCAATGTTGGCGTCTTTGTTATAAGATTGGAAGTTCTCTCGAGCCCTCGAGTAGCAGACGTAGTAAAACTGAGAAACAATGGAAGTGAAGAAAGTGAAAGCTGCTCCTGCAGCAAACACTCCTCTTCTCAACATTTGGCAAGAGGGAGGAGTATCAGTAAGCAGTGTTCTGTACTTGGTGTGGTATGCATTCCTTGCCGAACCCGCCAGCAAGCATATCTCGGCGATTAAGAAAAACACCCTGAAACAGATTATTTCGCAATAGTAGCCAATATCATACCAGTGTGAAAACAGCCTTTTTCGATACAAGATTTGGATGTTGAAACAAGTCAGTGCACTTACCAGCAGGCTATGAAAAGGAGGAGGGCACAAGCCCTTGAACCGCCGGGACTCAGAGGCTTACCACAGCAGAAGCAGCGGCTAGCCAGCATTATGAGGATCTGGCTAGCCATAAGGAAGAGAAATGCTCCAACTCCTAATCCAGTTGAAATGTCTGAGTCATACACACAGTAGTTTCTTTTTGCATCTGTGTCTTCAACTATCTTCGCCTGTAACAAAGAATGGATTTAGGTTTGTTTTTGAGAAGAAATTATGGAAGGAACAGCAAGAATTAGGGTTTAAGAAAAGCAATGAAAGTAGATCTGAATTCTTTTCCAGGTGAAAGAAAAAAGAGTTTGCTTTGTTTGGAAATCTGTTTAACCCAGAAGAGAACACCAAGATTTTGCAGTAAAGGCAGAGCTTTTGACTAAAATACGCAAGGATGAAGAGAAAGAGTGAAGAAAAAGGGGATGAGCTTACAATGCTTCGCCTTTGCTCAGCTGCAATGGCTAAGCCAAAAGCGATGATATCAAAGAGAAAGACGGTGAAAAGAAGTAGCTTAGACGCCATTGTTGAGCAAGTTTGAGTTTCAGAGCTTCGCAGATCTGTTTATCTCAGCGTTCTTCAACCCTTTTCTACTCTGCTATCTATCTATCTATCTTTAAACCAAACAGAGGATTAAGGTATCTCAGATATGTGTTCTAAAATTCTATAAAAGAAAAAAAGAAAAAAAAAGAAAAAAAAAGCAGGGGATAGAACATAAATGCCCAAATCAAGTGGAGATGAAATTTCTGTAATAAATGTGTCGGCTACGCGGCTGGAGAGAGGGGAATGGAGAAATATTTTAAATTTCAATTTTATTTTTTTAATATAAATTAATTGCTGTTTGAATTTTATATATAATGAAATCCTAAAAATTCAAAAGTTAATAAATATAAATAAATCCATTTGGTTTATATAAATTTATAATTCACTCACGTTTTTCAAATAAGTTGAAATGAAATTTGAATTAAAGTTGGCTTTGAATTTTGAAATAAAATAATATTAAATACTTCAGTTGAAATGTGATGCGTTTTTTTAAATTAAATTTATTATGCAAAAAATAAAGCTAATTAAACCTAATCTTCTCTTTTTACCTAAATAAAACTAATTGATACGTATTGTTTTGAATTTTAGAATCTCAAATTTTAAATTATGTTTTAAAATTAAAAAAAAAAAACGTCTATTTTATTTTCTTTCATGTTTAGAAAATGTAACTTTTATTTTATCACCATTTCCGAAGCAGTTGGAATTCTTTTTTGAAAATGTTGGTAAAAAATGTAAATAAGAAATGAAATTTATAGGTAAAAATATATTTAGAAGTCTAATTTTCCAAAATCAAAAGGTCAAAAGTCAAGCAAACGTTATTTCTTGTTACTCTCCCTCCAATGATATTTTTCCAAATTTAATATCTCCCTTTGATTTCAAGAATTTTTCAATGTTCCCCTCCTAATTTTTGTTTTTTTATTTTTTTTTTTAATTTTCTCTCTCTCTTGTACCTTACATTACAAATTGTAGACGATGTTTAACCTATGACTTGACCATTTGACTATATAAATTTAAATAATTTATGGTTTATTTAAAAGAAATCACCCATTTAAGCATAGTTGATAAATATATTAACTTCTTAATTGGTAAACAAATAAGAAAATGATAAACTCGGGTAAGAATTAAACAACTTTGAAACTCCATTGTAAGGGTAAGAATTACTAAATTATATATATACATGCATATTTTGTTTCTCTCTCCTCTTCCGTCCCGTCAATTGGGTTCCTTTTTGTTTCCCATTTCTTGTGCATAAAATTAACTATCACGATAGGATTTCACAACCTCTTTAGTCAATGCTGTCATTCGTCCATGGTGTCTTTAGGAGTGCATATTATATCATGATGTACGCGTCCATAGTAACATGCTAGAGAAACAACGGATGCCCACGACCCCACTCTTTAAAATTTAAATTTTTGAATTTAATGATTAAAAAATCTTCCCACTTCATATTTATGGTACTGAAAAAAAGAAGGCTTTTGTTTACGCATTAAGAAAATGACAGCTAAGTATTCAAACATATAGAGGCATTATATTTTCCACATGTAAATTTTCTAATAAATATTAAAAAAAAATAGAAAAAGGGAAGAGTGTCTATTACGCACACAAAGTTTGGGCCATCTTAAAATTCCATGTACTCCGTCAAAACGTTGATTGCACTTTCTTTCTTTGTTTGGGTTTCCGGGCATTCAAAATAATAATAATAATAATAATAATAATAATAATAATAATAATAATCCTGTGAATTCAAATCCGGACATGTTTTCCGTTTGATTTTCAAATCAAAATGTCTTCTTCTCCAAGCATTCAAAGTTATGTATAAATAGAACAACTCTGCAACAGATAAAGCACAAACACAAACAAGTCAAACAAATCTTTGTTGTTTTGTTTAAAATCAAGGTCCGATTGTGATGAACCGTGTGGCTGCCGTCGCGAAAATCACGCCGAGACTGTTTCTAGCTCAGCTGGGGAGCAAGCAGTTGCAGAGGGGTATTGCCAAACCCTGCGATGTGTTCATAAACCACAGAGGCGTCGACACCAAGAAGACAGTGGCGGCGTTGCTGTACGACAGGCTCATCCGGGGCAACTTCCGTCCGTTTCTTGATTACAGAAATTTGAAGCCTGGGGAGAAGCTGTTCGACGAACTCCACGGCGCCATTAGACAGTGTAAAGTGGGCGTGGCTGTGTTTTCGCCTCGGTATTGCGAGTCTTATTTCTGCCTCCACGAGTTGGCTATGATCATCGAGTCCAACAAGAAGGTACCCCAAATGGGTTTTCTTTGAATGTTTACAATTAGAATTCAACAACATCATCAAATGAATTGAATTATTGAACAGGTGATTCCTATATTTTGTGATGTGAACCCATCTCAGCTTCGGATAAAGGAGGACGATGGGTACGAAACAGAGGATCTGAGAAGGTTCAATTGGGCTCTTGAACAAGCTAACCAGTTGGAGGGAATCAAATTTAATTCCTCAAAACAGTAAGTAACAAAGATGTGGGCTAATCATCCTACAAAATTAATGTTTATATCCCTCTAATTAACCTAATTCTGTTGTTTCAGGACCTTATCAGACATTGTGACAAGGGCTTCAAATATTGTGATCAGTAGTTTGGTTGAGATGGACGGTAGGGATGAACAGTAGGCCCAACATCCAACACTTTATTCTTATTCTTTTATACATCATTCAATTTGTTAATTATTTCCTCTTCTCTCCAACACACAAAATGTAGCATGATTATGCATAATAACATCCTCTATTCTTTTATTATAATAATATTATACCAATTTTTTTTATTCGTACTTTAAGCTTTGCCACTTATCTTTGTTTATTTAATATAAATCTTTATTTTGATTCCTATATTAGTAACCGTCACTGTTTTAGTTTCCGTATTTATTTTCTTTTATAGCATTAAATTCAATAAATTTTGTGATATTAAAGAGTGGGGGTTTAAGAGTTATTAAATATTTTTAAGATATGAAAATATGTAGCTTGGGATATTTATATATATATAAAAGGTAAATGACAACAAAGCGGGGATAGCTCAGTTGGGAGAGCGTCAGACTGAAGATCTGAAGGTCACGTGTTCGATCCACGTTCACCGCATATTTTATCAATTAAATTCCACCATTTTGCCACGACGTCGTTTGTTTGTCATTGTCTATATATAGCTCGTGGGGTGGGCCTGAATATAAAAATTGGTACATATAGCTGGTGGGGTGGGCCTGAATAATTGGTCCGACTCCATGACGGAAGAAGAATCATTTATAGCACCATCTCCATTTCACACCACATCATTTTGTAGAACTGGTGGGCGTAAGAAATAATGTAAAAAAGATTCATAACACCCTTCACTCTTCACAATTCTTGGATATCATAAACGGGGAATAAACACACATAAAAAAAAAGCGGCCTGGAAAGATGATGAATGGTCATTGTCACCGAAGTGTTTCTGAGTCAAAATTCAACATTTTTAATGGTCATGAGTTGGAAGGATACGATGGCAGTGATTATAGAAGAAGAGGTTATAAATGAAATTATATCCCTCCACTCCCCCATACAATTTGCGCAAAAAATGTGGAGATTTTAGGTGTTGCTTTCACTTTTAGGCCCTTTTTGTCTTTGGGTTAAATTCCAAGCCTAACATACAATACTCTCCACCACCTGTCCCAATTTGTCCCCACTCCATTGTCCACGTGCCTTCTCACGCGTACACTCCAAATCTTTTTTTTTTTTTTTTTTTATCATTCAAAAAGAATGGAAAATTTC